TATATATATATATTTGTTGTTGCTAAGTACCATTGAGTCAATTCCGACCCATAGCGACCCTATATAGGGTTTCCAAGGAGCCACTGGTGAGCTTGAACCACCAACCTTGCAGTTCAAACAACTTTGCAGTCTGACGCATTAGCCCACAGCACCACACCAGGTCTCCATATGTGTGTGTGTGTGTGTGTGTGTGTGTGTATGGTTTCCAAGACTGTAAATTTTTAAGGGAGCAGGCAGTTTCATCTTTCTTCCAAGGAGCATCTGATGGGTTTGAACTCCATACCTTGTGGTTAGCAGTGCAGTGCTTATCTTATATTGCCATCAGGTCTCCTTCAGTGCTAGTAATTCATTGCATTGTAATAGTTAACTCAATCCTTAGACATAGACTTAGAAATGAAACTGTCTCGTTTTGAATCCCGGATTTACCACTAAGCATGCTTATTAACTTCTCTATTCATCAATTTCCTCATCTGGAAAATGGGGGTTTTAATAATAATACTTACTTAATAAAAGGATTGGAGTCCTGCTGTGGCGCTGTGGGTTAATGCACCAGACTGCAAAGCCGTTTGATACTGCAAGGTTGGTGGTTCAAGTTCACCAGCTGCTCCTCGGAAACCCTACACAGGCTCACTATGGGTCGGAACCAACTTGATAGCACTTAACAACAACAACAGTGGATTAGAGGGAATATATATATATTTATATGTATATATAAAGAGAGAGAAAGAGAGACTCCTGGTATATCGCTGTAGGATCAGCACTGGAGTTAGAATCACAGGGTCGGCAGTTCAAACCCACCAGCTATTCCTTGGAAACTCTTTATACAGGGTTGCTTTAAGTTGAAACTTACTTGATGACACAACAACATAAGGTTTTCATTGCAACCTATGGTACCTCTGGGTAGGTTTGAGCCAGGTACCTTTCAGCTAGTTGTCCAGCAAATGGATCGTGCCACTTGTTGGTTGCCGTCAGGTTGGTTGCAAATCATAGTGACCCTATGTAAGGTTTCCAAGGAGCAGCTAGTGAGTTTGAACTGTCAGCCTTGTGATTCAAACCGACCTTGCGGTCCAGTGCTTTATCCCTTAGTGCCACACCAGGACTAAATATAATTAGCTATTTTAAGGTAACAGTATTTTTTGCCAATTTCATTTATTTAGGGGCTTGTTGCGGATGGGGAATTTATTTTTTTTAAGTTATCTTAATAGACATACAGTGTAATTTGGTAGTCTGTTACACACAGTCCCCTTGTCATTGTCGTTAAGTGCCATCAAGTCAATTCCGACCCATACTGACCCTGTATCCAAGGAGCAGCTGGTGAGCTTGAACCACTGACCTTGCTGTTCAAAGGACTTTGGAGTCTGCCACACCAGGACTCCTTACTTCCCCTTAATTGTTTGTTTTTATCCCTACTCTCCCTTAGCCTCCTATCTCTTCTGTCTTTCTACCTCCCCCTTCTATTTTCCCTCTTTCCTTACCTCTTTGTCCCATTCTTACCCACTCTTCCTCCCTTCTTACTCTTTTCTTTCTCCTCTCACCTCCTCTTTTCCACTTCCTGTCTCCCCACTGGTCTCTTTTCCTTTCTGTCCTCATCTTCTGTGCCCTTTTCATTATCTCAATTTAGTATTTCTCCTTCTTTACCCCACTTTCCTGAATTCTCTTTTTCTCATTCCTTCCCTACCTCCCTGTACTCCTTTCCCTCAATACTCCTTTCACTTTGTTGTTCTGTCATCCCTCCCTTTCCTTAAAAAAGAAAAGTGGCTGTAATCTAAGCTTACTGTAACCTTCTGTTCTTCATTCTGGTTTCTGAAGTATGTATAATGTTACCAGTGAAATGTCTTTGTTTTCTACCCCATTAAGCTCTTCCTCTTTCTTTATATGAAAAATAACTGAGACATATTGTATGAACTCTAGATTAAAATTCTACCTGTAAAAGAAGCTTCTCTCTTTATTTCATTCTTCATCAGACTCTAGTGTACATGTTAATTCCTTAGAAATAAGTAAGACTCTTTGAGAAGGTTTCATATCAAGTTATTAAAAACTCCTTGTGTAATGGTACAATGTAGTCCAAAGTTACAACAAAGAAAGGATAGTTCCTAGAAGGAATAAAATACATCTTCCCAAAGTTCCCATTTTCTTTCCAAAAAAGGTTAAGAGAGAAAGACACTCAAATGATAAGATTTACTAAGTCAGCATAACATTATAAAAATAAAAGAAAATGTAGAATACAGCAATCTGAATTTTATTTCTTTGTTCTGGTAGGTTTTAATCACCAGTCTTTTCAATAACAGACCACTACTTTCACCCTCTGTGCTCCCAGGGCTCTTTTCAAACTCAGTAGAGTTGACTTACACATTCACAACAATTCTTTAACTTAATAAAGCCAGCTCCAAATTTTAACGTTTCTTTCTGCTTTTCCATTTTGGTTTTTTACTTTACTTCTCTTACTAATTTTCAAAATTTTGTCCTTTGTATTTGTAATTAATATTATATGCACAGGTTAGTTTTATTTTCCTCTAGGTCGATATTTCTAAATATGCACAAGCATAAGGATAACCTGGGATATTTGCAAAGTAAAGTACACTGATGTAAGGCCCCATTATAAACATTCAAAGAATCTCCAGGATAGCCTAGCAATCTGTGTTTGAAGAGATGACTGTTACAGCAGTCAAGTTTCGGAAGCACAGCTATTAGTGCAGAATAGTCACTTTGCAAGACAACTTTTATATTTCATAGCCAGTAAATCATTTGAATTTCTTTTCATAGTGAAAGTCATTGTTTAGTTTAAATGAAGTTTTCAAAGTGTAATTTCAAATTGTTTTCAATTCTAGCTTGCTTAGACAATCATAGATTTAATACATTTCTGTAACCCACTCAGGTCCTGCTCAGGTTCCAATGATGTCTCCAAATGGTTCTGTGCCTCCTATTTATGTGCCTCCTGGATATGCCCCACAGGTATGTGTTAATGTTATTTCATGTATATATCTTGTTGTTATTGTTGTTAAGTGCCATGAGCAGGTTCGGATTCATAGCAACTCTGTATAGGGTTGCTGAGAGTGGCTAGTGGTTTGAACTGCCAACATTTTGGTTTGCAGACCAGTGCCTATTTTACAGTACCACACCAGGATTGTGTGTTGTTAAGTTCCATCAATTGGGTTCCGACTCATAGCAATCCTGTATAGGATTTCCAAGGAGTCGCTGGTGGGTTTGAATCACAGCCCTTGCAGTTAGTAGTCCAGTGCTTATCCTATAGCGCCACACCATGACTGTGTATATGTGTGTGTATGTGTTTATAGACATATAGATAGTTAGTGACAGTAAGCTACTCTCTGATTAGCTTTGATTTTGATGAAAAAATATGTCAAGATTACAGATATTTAAGGTATAGTGTATCTTTGGTAAATCTGTTTATTTCAAGGTTATTAATATATTTATGTATTTGGACTTATATTTGCATATTGAGTTATAAAAATTAATTTGTTCTAAAATTGTGTCTCCCTAAATATGTAAACAATATAAATATCTTAAGTTGCAAAAGTGCCTTAAATAGCTGTTTGTTTTAAGAGTGTAACCCAAGACAGTGCTTCTGGCTTTACTCATACCGTGGCTCACAGAAACTCATGATAATTATATGGCACGTTATATTAGTAGATAAAAGAGAATTTAGACCTGCAACCCTAAAGGCTGAGGAGATCATAATGTCACCCATTCCTGCACACTGATGAGGAGCTTTGACTTCAGGAATAAGACATAGCTCATTATTTACACATGCAAACTGGATTAGATTTTAAAATCTTCCACTACTGAGAGTCTGTGTACTCTACACTCATAGCATCAAATCCTTTTTTGAAATAACCACTTTCTTTCCTGGTACTAAATCTACACTTGAAGTTTCCTTCAGGCCTTCTCTTACTTTATGCCTGATTATGCCAGACTATCAGTAAGATAGTATGGTAGACTCTGCCCGCTATAAATCCCATTACTATATGAGGGAAATGGTTAAGTGCTGGACTGCTAACAAAAGGTAGGCAGTGCAAACCCATCCCCATCCAGTGGCAACTCAAAAAAGGTGTGGCAATCTTCTTCTGAAAGGTCATAGCCTTGAGAACCCTATGGAGCACAGTTCTGCACATGGGTTGCCATGAGTTGGGACCAACTCAACAGCAACTAACAATATGAAGGACAGAGTGCTCATATATACCAGGCATTCTTGTAGGTACTTGGGCTAGATCTCCATGAATAAAAGAAGCAAAGATCCTTGTCCTGTGGAGTTTACATTCTGGTAGGGAGAAATAAGCATAATAAATGAGCAAACTATACAGTGAATCATATGGGGGGTGGGGGTGAGAAAAATAGAACTGATTAAATTTTTAACTGGGGGGTGGGGTGGGGTTAGTATAAACCTCATTGAAAAGGTGGACATTTGAGTAAATTCTTGTAGGACAAGTTGTTGTTGTTGTTAAGTTCCATCGAGTCGGTTCCTACACATAGCAACACTGTATAGGGTTTCCAAGGAGCAACTGGTGAGCTTGAACTGCCGGCCCTGCAGTTCAAACAGATTTGCAGTCTGGCACATTAACCCAGAGCACCACACAAGAACTCCGTAGGACAAGTAGAAGTTAGTATATACATATGTGGGTAAAGAGGAAAGATGCTAGCAAAATAAACCAGTACAAATGGGCTAAAATGAGCACGTTCCTGGGAACAGTATGGGGGCCTGTGAGGCTGACAATGTACAAGGCAAAATAGTGAAAGGGAATGAAGTCAAAGAACTAATATAACCAGATCATTACTTATCTTTATATCCTTTATTTCCTCCATGCTGAGTACAGTGTCTGTCATATAGTGTTGTTGTGTGCCATCAAGTCAGTGCCCTGTAGGGGTTCTTAGGCTGTCATCTTTATGGATGCAGTTCACCAGGTCTTTTCTCTCTCTCTCTTTTTTTTTTTTTTTAATGTTTTATTGTGAATTATGTGATAGTTTACATGGGAGAACATTAACTTTACATTCATCCTATCGTATATCATTTCATTGCCATGATTACAGTCCCCTCCATGCATCATCAACCAACCAAAGGTTATATACCCTGCAAACCTGCCCACCAGTTGTCAGCACACAGCCCCTCTCCCTCTCTGGGTCTAGAGTCCTCAGCCGCTCCATCTCTAGTGTCACTGTTTCTCTGGGTAGGGTCCCGCACTCTGCTTTTCTCCCTTGATGGTCCTAGGGACCTCCGCTCCTGGACTACAAAATCAACAACTCCCCTCCTTTTGCTACAAAACTTCTATCTTTACATTTCCAACCCTCACAGTCAGTCCTGATAGCAGTTATTCACTATTGTACCACAAGAGTCCTATCCTCATCTCCTATCTTCGGCCCTACACAGACAGATTGGATACTACTCAGTGGAGAGTCTACCTTCCTCCACGCCCTCTGGACCAGGTCTTTTCTTTTATGGAGCAGCTTGTAGATTAGAACTACCGATCTTTCTATTAGCAGCTGAGTGCTTAAACATTTTTCCAAAAGGACCTGTTTATAATATAGCATAAGCTCAATAAATATTACAAATTAAATTATCCAAGTTGAGTTCTTTATCTTTAGACTTAGAGCTACCAAAATAATCTTCTGTGATACATCACTAAAGCCAGCAATGATGAGATTGAAGAATTCTATCAATTCAGTCTAAAATTGATCAAACATCAAGAAGCACCAGTCCCTGGAGAAAGGGACATCATACTTGGTAAAATGGAGGATCAGCAAAAAAAGAGGATGGATTGGTATAGTGGCAACCGCAATGGGCTCAAGCTTAACAAGGAATGTGAGGTTGACACAGGACTGGGCAGTGTTTTCATTCTGCTGTTCATATAGTGTCTGACAACCTTAACAACAAAAATATTGCACTTTATATTTTCATTTTTGTGCTTATGAAGAGTCTTTAGTTGGCATTGTTGTCCATTGAATGAACTCTAGATTATTTTACATTTAAGGCCTTAACCAGTTCTGTCTTAGTTTGTCTTTGTACCTTTCTTTCTCTAATATTTCTCCCAAACATGACTTTTCTCATTCTCACTTTTGATGTTGTCCTTTCTAAATAGCTTAAATGTTGTTACGCATTCCCCCATCTCTGACTGTTGAAATTCTACCCCATTCTTGAAGGGTGTAGATTAGCTTTTTTGTACCGTTTTATGTGTATGTGTGTCATACTACTTAATATTATAGTTGATTATGTGTATATTTTTCTTCTACCAGGTTTTTAAATGTCCTGATAGCATAATGAGTTACAAGTTGGGTGGCTAAACACAAGGTCAGCAATTTGAATCTACCACATGTTCTGCAATAGAAAGATGAGGCTTTCTGCTTCTGTAAAGATATACAGCCTCAGAAACCTTATACAGGGTCACTATGAGTCAGAACCGACTACACAGCACACCACCACCACCACCACCACCAAAAGCACCACAGGGTTTTAAGTTCCATGAAGATTGTAGGTGCCTTGTCATTATTTAATGTTTTTGTGGTAACTCAGACATAGTAGGTGTTCCATAAATAAATGAATTTAGCTATAATCTTTCATGAGAATTAAGTGAGTTACTACTATAAATCTTTATTTAGGATCAAGATTATCTTTAGAAATTGTATCATTTTCAAACACAGAAGAGTAATGAAAAGATAAAAAATCTAGTCTCCTAGTATAAGAGAATATAAGTACCTGTTATATATAAAATTATATTCTAGCTTTTTTTTTTTTTTTGCATCTCTAGAAACTCCCCTTCCCCAACACACAGAATTTCTGACTTTAGAAAGTACTTACCAATAAGAGCCAGGTTTTCAGCACAGTTAAACACTTGATAATTATCCAGAACTTGACAAATAAGCAAGCATAATATTTGCAAATCTAAAAGCTGGGAGTTGAGCCAAATGTTAAGATACATAGATGGCATTGATAAAGTACAAAGGCTAATCAGGAGCCAAATACCACAAACACTAAAACCATGAATAGCTAGACTAAGATATCAAATTAAGGGAAAGGGGAATCACAACGTAAATGGTGACACAGAAAGCAAATGGTACAGGAGTAGGAGGAACTCAATTCTATGGCAAACAGTACTAATTTAGTAGTCCCTAGGAGTCCTGGTGTGACACTGTATGCTAAGCCCTGCTGGACTGCTAACCACAAGGTCAGTAATTCAAACCCACCAGCGTCTCCTCAGAAACCCTATACGGGGTCACTATGAGTCAGAACTGACTTGACGGCACATTAACAGCAACAGCAAGGAGTCCTGGTGTGGTTCTGTAGGGTAAACACTGGCCTGCCAACCACAAGATTTATGGTTCAGTCCCACCAGTCACTCCTTGGAAACCCTAGTATAGGATATCTGTGAGTCAGAACTGACTCGATGACACTTAACAACAACAAGAGTAACATGGAATAACTGGTATGGTGCTGTAGGATAAGCACTGGACTGCTAACCTCAAGATCGATGCTTCAAACCCACCCAGCCACTCCTTGTGAACCCTGTTACAGAGTCACTATGAGTCGGAATGGACTCAACAAGAGTAAGTAACAGGGGTGCTCTAGTGGCATAGAGGGTTAAGCATTAGGCTGCTAGCCATAAGGTCAGCAGTTCAAACCCACCAGCTTCTCTGAGGTGAAAATATGCAGCTTTCTACTCCTGTAAAGATTTACAGCCTCAGAAGCCCTATGGAACAATTCTACTCTGCTCTTTATGGTAGCTGAGTCTGATTCGACTCAACAGCAATGGGTTTTTTATGTTCATAGTATCATACTGCAACACAGAATAACAATAAGTTAGTGATGAAGTTAATAGTTTACCAAGAAGAGATTGTAGACTAATAAAACTCCTAAAAGACATTTAAAGTTTTCTCCTTTTTCATTTCTTGTAATAGCTTCTCTAACTGTTGTTTATGGAATGTAGGTTGTTATGGTGATGACTAAA